GAGCCCGATGCGGGACTCGATCCAGGGACTCCAGGATCATGACCTGAGCCGAAGGCAGTCGCTCAACCAACTGAGCCACCCAGGCGCCCCAGGAATCTGAATCTTAAACTGACTTATAACCAATGTTTAGCAATTTTTCTCCAGAGGCACCTGGTACTGAAAATCCTGAGTAAAAGTCAGGTTAGTTCTTGACTTTTCCTTCTGCTTGCATAGGATTTAGTTTTCTCAGATCTGCTATGTTTTTGGCTACTCGTCCATCTACTTTCCAGCTTCCCAAGTGTTTCTTTTTCTTTACTCATTCTGTTATTGTAGATTGGAGGCTTGAAAAATAACTCCTAAAAATCTCTGTATAGTCAATTTAGAAGAGTTTTGGGGAGAGGGTGAAAGAAGATGCAGGGATTCAATCTCTTTTCCTCTTTGACTTTTGATCTAGGACATCATCTCCAAATTTGCTTTTTGTGGTGGAGTCCTGTCTTTAACTGAGACCTCATACAAATATATGCATATAAACTAGATATGAGCAAAGCTACTCTGTTTTGTTTTTTAAGATTTATTTATTTATTTGAGAGAGAGTGAAAGAGCAAGTGTGCATACGTGAGGTGGGGGAGGGACAAGCAGACTCCATCCATGACCCTGCGATCATGACCTGAGCCAAAATCAAGAGTTGGAGGCTTAACTGACTGAACCACCCAGGCACCCCAGAGCTGCTCTGTTTGAAAAGGAAGTGGGTGCCCGTGGTTGCACTTCCTCAGTTCTCATCTTGTGCCTTCTCTACCATGAGAAACCCGTGCAAGGCATGGTTTATAAACTGCTGATTTAGGAGTTGAACATGATTTATCCTTCTACCAGATGTTAGACATTTGAGTGAAGTTTATAGCATTATGGAAGGAGCATTGATTTATTCCTTTAGAGATTAATTTTATTGCTCTCCATTGCTCAAATGGTGCAAGTCAGAGAGAGAAAAAAACCAATCTAAGCAAGCTCCTCTGAGGAGGAAGAGCCTCTCCCAGCTTGCAGTGGCCCCGCCCATGCCCAGCCCTCTCCCACTTTTGAGGGCGGCAGGTCCCAGGAGGAAGTTCTCCCTTGCTCGCCATCTCCATCGCCAGGCAGTGCTCTTATCCCTTCAGAGCAGCCCTCTTCTCTCCCAGAAGTAGTCCTCCGAACCCGCACCTCAAGTGAAGGATCTGAACAACCAAAGAAGAGAGCCTCTATCCAGAGGACCTCAGCACCTCCGAATAGGCCTCCTCCACCCAGAGCCACTCCTCAGGGAACATACCCTCCAGCCCTCCAGCCTCTGAGCAGGGTTCACCTACCAGTCCCAGGGCCTTCTTGGAGGCTGGGACTCCAAGTCCTAGGGCCTCCTTAGAGGTTTCTCCTGACCCACAGCCACCAGCGAAACCAGTAAGAACTTCTGAGGCCAGAGGAAAGGAAAACATCAACAATCTGAACCCAGAAGAACTTTGTACTTCCCCTACCTTGATGATGTCTGAGGTTTTTTCAGAGTCTGACCCAGCAAAGAAGATCGAGGACAAGGAAGAGAACAATAAGCTCACCTCTGCTGACTCCCCTGAGAGCCAAGATCTTCAGCTTCACGTCTCTGCAGTTCCAGAAGAGAGCAATGTCATGGCAACCGTGCCTCAAGAAGAGGTATCTACAGCTCAAACTGACTACCTGTGAAGGGGAACTGTCGAGACCTCCACACACACCTCCCCAGACAAGCTCCTCAGCTAGAGGGTATATAGGTCAGAGGGACTTAAGATCTAGCATCCATTTTTAGGTTCTCCAACAGTATGAATGCTGGTGGTCTCTAAAGATCTAGCATTAATGGAGGCTGAGGAGCAGACTTAGGGGAGGAAGGGCGGCAGACTTAGGAGAAGAAACTATTAGATCCCGGGAATATTTAATTCAGGCTTTAGCACTGTTAGAATAAAAATTATATATTATATATTAAGTAAAGTGGGCCTAAAATGACTATAAAAAGCATAAGCATCTGTAGACAGAGACACGTCCACATAGAGACACATTACCACACATACTCAGAGAACAGTGAACCACTCATTTTGCAAGACTTAGAGCCAAAAGAACAGATTTTCAGGTTGTTAAATAAAGTATTACTCTGACAAAAACAAAAAAAAACAAAAAACAAAAAAAAACCAATCTAAAATTTCTTGAATTAGAATAAAATTAGACTCTGGATCTCCTTGCAGACAAACTTTATCATTGCAAAATATCATTGCAAAAATAGCTTTAGAATGCTATTCTTTTTTTCAGTTGAAAAGAAAGTGCATAAATTTACTTGAATATTAGGCAATATTTAACTATGCTTATACATTTTGATAATTGGGTATTGTAAACTCGGGTTTACATTTATTTATTTATTTATTTATTTATTTATTTAAAAGATTTTTTATTTATTTGATAGACAGAGACACAGCGGGAGAGGGAACACAAGCAGGGGGAGTGGGAGAGGGAGAAGCAGGCCTCCTGAGGAGCAGGGAGCCTGATGCAGGGCTCGATCCCAGGACCCTGGGATCATGACCTGAGCCAAAGGCAGAAGCTTAACAACTGAGCCACCCAGGCACCCCCAGGTTTACTTTTAGAAAGCTACAATTCTAGGGCGCCTGGGTGGCTCAGTTGGTTAAGCGACTGCCTTCGGCTCAGGTCATGATTCTGGAGTCTCGGGATCGAGTCCCGCATCGGGCTCCCTGCTCGGCAGGGAGTCTGCTTCTCCCTCTGGCCCTCCCCCCTCTCATGTGCTCTCTCTCATTCTCTCT